CTAGCAAAGACAACCATATTTCTGAACAGTTTTGTATAGGATCACGGAAATGCCAGTTTATTAAGCAGATCAGTTTTGGTTTGAATTAAATATTCAAATCGAGCGTTAGCATTTTACGCAATAACCTAATAGTTGAAGAATGAATATAGTTACACATTCTCAATTAGTCTCCAGAGGTGGAAGCACTAGATATCCCAAGGCGCATTTAAAAAATATTTTATCACTACCACCTAAAATGTGGGAGAATTCCAAATTCTGAAGGATCGCATGCGATGATGACGAGATATGAATTTCATAAGTTCACAACATGAAAATGAATTTTAAATCGAGTGTTTCGTCACGAATTACATAATCAAATATTAGACTAATTTATACAAACTGCACAACATTTAAATATCATTATTTCTCTGTATTCGAGCAACGGGAAACATTCATTAATGGACTAAAAACAGACGCGGAATCTAAATCTCAAAAGTTTTTTAGTTCTTCACATTTCAAAAAGATGTTAATATTAGTATAGTTACAAGCATATGACGTAGACTGCGCTGGCTGCATAAGTTTAAATAATTCAAGTGAAATGATTTTTGAAGTTGCTCTCAGCATCATATCTTGCATGTATGAAAGTAAATCAAATTTCTGTTTTTGCTCGATATAGATTCACTGCCAATGTGACTGCCACCTTAATATTTTGACACGAATTCTCTAACTCTGGCGAAGCAATCTCTTCTGTAACCCTAGTTTTGCGCCGCACCATCGTGATGAAGTGCTGCTCTTGCTTTACGCATATAAACAACTCCATGATGAACTGTCCCCGCCTACAGTGCTACTCAACAATTCGCTACCAGGAGACAGCAGTTGAACATTAAAATGAATAAGCTTTGCAATAAATGCAGGAACGTATGAAAAATTAAGAGAGATGGATGTCCTGACGACATCCGTCACGCAACCGAACAGTTCCAATAAGATGTTGTGGCTATGCATGAAATGTGAATGATCTGAAATCGAATCGAGGTTCGATTAGAACATTGTTTCTCTCTTCTGGAGTCTGGTGACTAGCAGTTTCTGCAAGTTGGCGTGCGTAAACATGACCAAAAAAGAATCTGACCTGTTGACATTGCTTCTCTGAGATCGTTCTGATGGCCTACCGAACAAGCAAACATGCAAAGCACAGTCTCTCTCACGAAAATTACTATAGTAATCAGATATGCACCTACGAATAGAAATAGGCTTACTTCGATGGCCAACGCTCAGTATCACCCGTTTGACAATAGTCGCAGGTCGAGAGCTCAAGTTGGAGCCAATAATGGCTCTTGACCAGAGATACAATGTCGCGACAGAATTCATCATGTGATCATAGTGTCTACTAATCTGATCATAACTATTCTTAGGAAAAAAAATTCACTAGCTGCCGTGCACTTCCACTGGTAGTAAAATTCGAACCGGGATTAATCATATTTTGGACAGTTATTTATGCAGGTCTAGAATTCAACGTGATGCCGACCTCAACAACGACCGCGACCTTGTTGTTACTGAATTGCGCCTTAATCTGACGTTAACAAAGGCTGCGCATGCTAGACGTTGACATGTTGAAAAGAACTGAAGAAAGCGCCCGATATCACGACAGATGCAAACCCTGATGGAACGCGATAGAAAGGTTCTTGCCCTGACATAAAATGGCCAAAAAATTATAATGACAGAAAAAAAGTTTGACACGAGAGCAACCTAGGGTCCTCGATGAAACCGTTGATATGCGTGAAAATCACGGTTTGTTCAAGGCAACTGAAGCATGTTTTCGCAATGACGTCGCTGGATATCATGCATAACAAATAACCTAAAGATGCGGCAAGCCGAGGAGATATGACATCAGTGTACTAAATGCTATGGATATTCACCGGAAGAAAGACAATTGCCAGTGTGTTAATCCATAATAATTGTGGTCAGTAACTCATTCAGCGAATAATCTCTGCATTCGAAAAGTTCTTTATACTCGTTAAGAGCCTTCCGCTAACATAATGCCGTGCATTGTCAAGTAACGGTTGAAAAAGCCTTTAGATTTGACCAATAACCGGCGGAACCGCTAAAGTTTGGCGAAACCAATGTAGCGAAAGCCTGGGAAGAATTGAATGGAAATGTGGACATCTTCCGGCATACCAGATTCCTGGAAGAAAGGAATTACCATTCGTATGTTCAAGGGCCCAAGCCAGACAAATGGCGTTGATTACACAGAAATCATTCCGCAGCCAATATTTGGATATATATATCCAAATATTCTCACGCATTATTTAGGAATGCCTAAAGGACAAAATGGGCAAAAAAACTGGAATAATCTGGCGGTATTCAGAAAGAGTTATTCATACAGTACCTAATGACTATCACTCTACATGGTCATAGGGCAATCTCACAGATACCAACGACCATAACACGAAAATTTTTTGAACTTAAAGGACGCGTTTCATACAGTATATCTTGAGTAGCATGGAAATCTCTGCAGCACTACGGTATTTCATCTTGCAGGATATAGCGGCACTGCAGGTACTGTAAAAACCAAAGGTAAACTATATTACTCTTTTGAAAATCCAAAATAACGCAAGACAAGGCGACGTCCTTTCATCAATGGTTATAGGTTTTGTCGTCAGTGTAGGTCTTATGTGGTGAGAGAAAGCAATGACAACTTCCGAATAAAAAAACTGACTTTAAGTCCAAGGAACCCAGCCATACGTCTCACAGATCTCGATTACGTAGATGACATCACACTTACCAGATGTTAACTGCGGCTACAAGCAGAAGCGACTTATAAACCATCGCGGAAGGGCCCTCGGTAAAATGGAAAGAAAAAAGGAGTTATGAGGAAAGCAGAATGAACAGAGCGAGATCAATGTCTCCTCGTTTGGAGAACCATCGGAAGAAGTTGACCATACTAATATCAGGACTCAATAATTATGAACGACAGCCATTTCGACATGAAGATGAATAAAAGAACCTAATATGCTGCGGCCGCATTTAGAATTCTAGAACAAATGTGGTGTGAACGAAACAACGAAAAAAAGATAATGATTTGCCATTCATCCCTTTCTTATTGTAGGGCTTTAAAAAAAACTGTGAAAAATACGATATCGCTTAAGCAGTTTCAACAATGCTACCTATGCCATATACTCACAATTCGTTAATTCTAACGATAGCGAACCACATACTAAAGCTATAACAGATCTGTGAGAACCGTTTTCAGTGTTGCTGGAACAAAGAAACTCATGGCTGATAAGGTCATGAACAAAGACAAAACATTAATCACAGGATGAAAACCAAGGACATCGCCGCTCTGGCAGCCAAAATCGAATTCGGAAAGACCTATTCGACGCAGTCCCGCGGTAGCTTATGAGTAGTTCGCATGCGAAGACAGGAGAACATGCTTAAATTTACGACCCTGTACAAAACAATGTTTCGTCTATACATTGACCTGCGGGTAGTGCAACTTTAGCTGCTGCTCAAAGACGTCTTTGTTCAGCCCAACTCAGAGAGGCAGTCCTGCATCTGATGCAATTCAGGAATTCGAATATCATGAAGCTAAGACCATCTTGAGTGGGGCCCTAGGCGTCAAGAATCAAGGGGAGGTGCATTTACACTGAATGAATTCGGTATTAAGAATTTAAATGTGACCAGAAACTTGGCACAGCTCCCACATCAATTATTAAACGAATACGATAACCAGAGATACACCCTATGAAATTGACAGAAAAGAAAAGAAATCCGTGGTGGAAGATAGGAAACCGTTGGTAATTCTGACCAAACGGTAAATAAATCAATAAGAACTACGCAAAAGCACAAGATATTTTTAGGACATACTTTTTTGCAATGAGGACACGATCCAAGCATCATTCCGAAACTCAGTCGACCAGAAGGATCTGAACGGATCCACTGCAATATCGCAGATATACGTTTGCGATGTCAAATATAAACCTCCCCGCTTACCTTTAAGAGGCATTCGTAATGAAACGTTTTACTGCAGTGTTTACAACTTTGATCCGGACAGGGCACCTTATCCGCATCCAAGCAGATTAAACAGTTTAGCTGATCCAAAAGGTCGTCTTCGTTGGTGACTACACCTTGAGTGAGTTCCACTCCAAGAAGTGCCTCAATGTTATCCAGCAAGGGCAGATCAAGATTCCTAAAAATAATATTTGCTGCATCATTATCTGTGCTTTAGATTTTTTTACCATTTAGTGACGTTAGAATTCATATTGTTGCGATACTGATCAGAAGACACACCGCTACCGATGATACAGATGTCCGGCAAAGACCGTGGATGCATAGGATCTACCGTGATCATCATGCTTGTGCACGAATCTAATGATAAGAAAAACCCTCACTAGCTAAATCACATAACTAAAATATGATGACATTAGGCAGGATAGACATCAACAGCGATAATATTCACGGCACATGATTGAAACGGCATCATTATCACACGAACGGTGGAGTGCCCCCTCCCCATTTATACTATTTATACAGTGGTTCCGTCAAAATCAACGCACACGCGCTCAGACTGTTTTGAGGAATTGGCGACTACTGTAACTCTTTCATTATTATTCTGGTATTGCCTTGGGCAAAATACCTAGAGTTAACCGTCATCGCATTCCTGCTATCGTTCCACTGCTGAACGGAAAAACACATACAACGCCGTCATTAATATTTTTCGTAACTGGCGTTCTGCAATGCTAAAAATATTGAAACCAGAACATCCACGATGGCTACAAAGCCTTCTCAGAGTGTTTACCGTTGGGATTCACTGGTTGACTACCATCTGAACCTTAAACAGCAATGTAATGCATCAAGTATGCGTGCAAATTGACTACGGTCAGCCACCGTATTTCCCTGTGCATTAGCCAGTCGTCGATATTGTCATAAAAAGGCATTCATTCAGGAGCGTCACTTCGTCAGTTCGAGTCATTCATCATAAGAAACTGGCTTGTTTAGAAAAGAAAACCTAAGCTTTTTCTCGATACTTTGATCCAGAATTGATTGAGCTCCCCAAAAACCACCTGTTCGCCCTTTGAACAAAGATCAAAATAAGGGGTTGTTCAGCAGAATGAAGTACTTTTCCCTCTTCAGCCGCTACGATATTCGTGAACTTCGAAACGGCAGGCCAAAGAAGATAGGGCGGATCATAAAATTTAAATTAGTACTAAAAACCATCCAATCGCTGGTTAGCTGCTGCCACTGTTCAGCAGGTCGGTAAATGAACTCTCCTCCGTGGAATCCAATAGTGGCCTCTAATTTACAAGCAGGTAACTGTTCACGTTGGAACATCAAGTGGCTGGAATAATGTGGCTCTTCTACTGCGCCCCACGACTGCATCGAAAACAGAGTACAAAAGGAAAACTAACTGAAAGTAATAGAAACTTAAATTACCGTACCACGGCTTCAGCCTCTGTCTCGACAACCCCATCAGCGAGATAGCTCAAGGACACTTTCCTGATTGGCACAACGGTCTCCTGTCAACTACGCATAGAGTCTTAAATAACGTTTCGATGCTTCAGGCGGTTGGTTACATCAGGAAGTTGGTACGATCATCAGATTTTGCAAATAATTGGCTGGCCTGAATGCAAAGAAACGTTTCTGCTCACAGCGCATGAAAACATTTACAATAGAGTACACTGATCATTGTCGTTGCGAGGACCATGAGGCAAACCACCGCAGGCATGGCATGGATAAAATATCTATAGGCGTCAACGCATAAAGATTATGGAATGATCGAACGCTGTCATCATGAGAGCCACAGTTAATGGGTGAACGGTAACAATGCTGACTAAATGTGACTGTTGATATCCAGCATATTTTTCTGAAAAATCCTAGCCTTAAACTAGCAGTGCCAGCCTGACCAAAAAATGTTCAGGTTGTAGCAACTGAAGCTGTCAAGAAAACTGTCTGCTGGCGAAGTGCGCTAGCCAACCTGATATTTATGCTATGGAGTGTGGGCAACATGGACACAAAATCGAAAGGTCGAGTTTGAATCCGGTGGGGTTACCGGCTGTTCTTCCTTCGAAAATAGGTATCTGAGTGCCATTTCTTGGAAAGTAAATAGGTAACAACACGTTATGCCTATCATATACTTGTGGGCACTATCGTCGCAGACATGAAAACATTAAAAACACTTTCATCTGAACGACAGCTCTAGGAAAAACTCATGTAAAAAACGGCGCCCATCAGAAAGTGTACAGAAGACCGATATGCCTTTTCCTTTCCAGACGGTAAGACGAAAAAATGTCGAGAAAACTCGGACATATTATGCAAAATCATAGACATTCCCGTGGAATAGCAATTACAAGAATTCCTCAATGATAAAAGTCGACGCTGTGGAAAACAAAATAAAATTTCTGAGCCGATGACTGATGACTTGGGCGAAAAGGCAGTTCTTCATGAGGAGTAAGACAAAGATGAATTACGTAATATGATTCTTACCGAGATATATCCTTCTGTAACGGTGTGATCTGCTGATCTCAAGAGGATCAAGAATCTTAGCTTTGCGGTCGATTTCATCCATCTGTAGCCAAAAGTCCTGACACTGATCAATACCGTTAGAAAATGCTTCCCAGATCTTCTCCAAAGAGTCCTCCTGCAAATGCTAAGTTATTTTTCCAAACATTAAGCGCACGAATAAAGAGGTTTCAAACCTCGCCGAATTCTAGACAAAAAGGCAAGTCTGTTTCACACTTGAATAATGGCGGATCAAAGCAAAATTGGACTTGGAGACAATGACAGCGGCGGCGCGAATCACTTATCGTCAGGGTGGCGTGACGCAGATCTGGCGAAAGTGACGAAACCCTAGAATGTGGATAAAAATTAAGAACGTATTTTCTAGAGTGACGGATGATCCAGAGACCTATTGCTGGCTTCACTATCAACATTTGCCAAGTTCAAGAGACACGGACATGATGCTAAGCACTAAACTCACTTTTTACTCTAAATTTCATCTTTATCCAACTATATTCCAGCAGATTACTATTTCTTTGTTAAGCGTTTCCATAAAATAGGTTGAAAAACATGCATAAAATGAGATGTTAATTAACTAATATTATTTCGACGATATTTCTAGTTTAACAGGTCAGTACCAAATATGTCATCCATTGATCAGAAATTAAACGGTATGACGTTTCAGCACCTGTTCTATAGGAATAAATATTGCATGAAGGCATTTATCCTTGCGAGAACTTTCTCTTCTCAAGCAAGTTTGCGAAAAAAGCACAATGAGTTGGTACCTTCAGTGCATCAGCTCATAGCTTAGATTTCATAACAGCCCTTCCCGTAGCAATAACAGGGAATCATTTTTACACCATGCTTTACCGTGGCGTCTATACAGTGCTGTGACCCACTTTTGTCAATATTCCGGAGTATTCCACAAAATGTTCAGTGTAGAGAACATGCAGACTCGTGTGATCGATATAACCACAATACAAGTTTAAGACTGTCGACACGGGTGTGGGCACACGGATCTCATCAATACGAAACTTTTTGTAAAAACAGCACTTTTCTGTAGGGAGTAGTTTCGTTCTTTTCTCAGTTTGAAGTAGAACAGTAATCGATATGTATTATACTTAAGATGCAGTACAGAAAACTGTGGTATCATTCCGGAAAGACACCTAGAATGCATGTCACAGAACAAACACAGTTGCATAGCTATGTCACTAGAAGGAAATGTAGCAGTTGCAACAGTAGCGGCATAAAAGTTCAATGGTTACAGAAGGAAGTCAAATGGATGGACTTGAGAGAGTTTACGACCATATTCGTATAGCATGTCAGTGTTCTAGAGGTGAGAAAAATTTTATAAGTATGTATTCTGGAAGTATCTTTTTTCATAAGAATGAACCAAACACAGAATGGTCGATATTGGGTTTACAAAGCCGCCATCATTCTGAAGACCTGAGAAAATTATTTTCAGCAAATTTCTTATTAAGTATTGGCGTGGTACCCAGGCCACAGACTAGAAGAGAGACGGTGCACAAATAATCCATATGATATTAGGACTATGGTGAGACGTACCCTCAGGCCCGATCGCAGCGTCAACATACAGGATTAACCTTAAAATGACAGGTTAACAATGCAACGACAATCAGATCTGTCATCTCATAGAGTGCAGCCCAAACAAAATGCCACGACGAGGTACAGCCGGAAGACAAATTGGGACGGAAAGACCGGAAGTTCTCGATGATATGTATTTACAAAGTGAGAGCGTTATGAAGCCTACTCCCTTGACGTAGTATTTTGAAATTTTGGTATTCAGTTTCAAAATGTACTCTGAAAAGTATCTGAATGGGGATGAACTGAATTGCATTTCGATTTTTAATTTCCAGTGTTTGAAATCATGCTGCCACCCAGCAACACACAAATCTAATACGAGTCAGGGAGTATCAGCTCAGAAGTAGCATTATTACTGCATACATTAAACGAATAGTTTTCTAGATGCATGGTTAGGAAACTAAAATGTTCAGTTCTGATGATGTCACCGGTGTTAGTGATAAAACGCGTAGACTGTTAGTAAAACTTTTCCATCTCTGCTTTACGATTGCGTCTCCTAACCATCCATGAAAAAGAAAAGTCTCTCGATGAATTATAGGCCCAGAATCAAAAACTTAAGGAAATACTAGTGAACATCTTACATTATGTATTCTTATATTATGCCATTCATATGATATCATTACATCAAATAATCAGTAACTTCTTTAAGACCAGATTTCACGGCGCAATGCATTGTCTTTTTCTCCTAGTTGCCTAAGGGACCATATAAGCAAGCCAGGCTTCAATAATATTTAAGCACCTGCAGCTCCAGATGCATTTCGCATCGCTTTCTCGCTAGAGTCACCCCGCGCTCATTACGAACAGTGGTTCAGGAGCTGGTACTCGTAATATGGCACTGCATAAAGATTATTATCAACATATCATATTATTATAGTTCATCATATGATCAGAGAACAAACTGGCTTTGATCTGAGGATGAATCACATCTTGAAACTTGTTAGATTCAATGGCTAACAACATGATTTTAATAGAAAGCAAATTTTTACTAGCATTAATTGATAAGTAAATAAACCAATTTGTGAGGTCACATTCGACAACAAACTTTAAGAACAATGCGATATCTACCTTCAACAACGCGCCAATAGAAACTGACGGCCTATGCAGATCGACTGAGAAAGAAAGTGAAAGAAGAAATCTTTGTAGCCATATGGGTGACAGATCTCCATATTATTTTCATCATTAAGGGTATTGTTTGTGGCGTCTCATAATTCACGAAGCTTATGGTGCGGGCGCTGATCTCTGCTTCCATGCCATCACCAAGAAGTGCATTTTATTAAAGGCAAAATCTATAGCTCCGTAGGAAGCATCGCGTATAGTCTTCTGTTTCCTTCTTACAGAGTGGTACTCACTTATTTAACTCAGAAGGAAGAAAGGTGTTACCGGGGCTCGAAATGAGACACAACCGGTAAACACCAAAAGCTGCTAACTGGAATCTGCTGGCCAACAAACGTCAAGTCGGTCATCGAAGAACAGGCTGGGCTGATCAGATGGACAAACAGTTAGATGTCGGTTTTCCTTCACTTTCATGATTAGGACATGATGACTTCCTTCTTTTCATCACGATGATGGTACGAAGCTGATCTCTGTACCTATGTCATCAACCAGGAGTATTTTATTTTAAAGAAAGAGTCTATAAGCACGTGGCAAGCGTAGCGAGTTGTTCCTTGTTTACTTACCACCGAACGGTACTCATGTATCAACCTCAGAAAGAAAAAGTGCCATTGATTCTTAAATAAACAAATTACTTTGTCAGGCAAAAAGCGGAGAAAAGAGGATTAAGAAGGAGCGTCAAGCGTTGTCCTGAACATAACTGAATCCTATCTAAAAACTGAACTGGTCAGTACCACAATTTTAACAGAAAGAAAATTTTCAAAGATTGTCCAAAAAGGAAAAAGTATTCGTTTTGAAGAAAGTTGGAAGTCAAAACACGTTTTTCAAAAACCAGCATTTTAGAAAACTATTATAAGGTACTCTGAGCACAAGTAGAAAGAGTACTTCGAACTTCGAAGAACAAAATAATCAATTTAAATATTAAAGATTTTTTCCACCATTCTTGCTCTCAACCACAAAATATAACCACTGAATACGAATATGAACGGGTTCAGTAGATGAAGCTCTCTTAATCATGAGATTATTGATATATTCGTTTCGTAAGTCGGTGATTA